AATCCTGCTTCCTATGGGTAGCGCGCCAGCGCCGCAGCAGCACGCCGGCACAGCGGCGTAGCGGCGGCATCCCATCCGTCTCCCTCTGGCCTCTGCCCCGTTGTTCGCCTGTTTCCGTGCCGGCGGCCGTCCTGCCCCGCTGCACGCACGGGCAGCATGGCAGCGGCAGTCTCCGTCGTCTACTCGTCTGCCGGAAGCATGGTGGCCAGTGGGCAGCACCCTGGCCAGCTGGCCCCTTGTCCTGACCGCTGCCCGTCGACTATGCGCAGGCCGCGTAGGAGATCGGGAGGGGGCGAGCCGGTGCCCGGTGGCCGGCGAGGGGTGGGGCGAGAGGCGACAAAAGAGGAGAGGGAGGGCCAGAGGGAGCCGGTGCGCCGGCACGGCCAGCCACAGTGACCAAGCCAGCCCGTGCCCGATGCGACGCCTTGGAGTCGGGGGAGCTCTGCGCGACGCCACAACTGCCGACTGCGCCTTTCTTCTTTCGCAAAGGCTAAGGCCTTATGGGCTTGGCATGCCAAGACGGAAGAAGCCCCTAAGCCCAATACCCATACGCATACCCACCAGGCCACCAAGCGTCCAAGCCAGAACTCAGCGAGCGCGCCGTCGATGTGGTCTTCTTCCACCTCGCGCCGGTCAGATTCTAGGGCTTCCAGTACTTCTAGCCTCGCGAGCCGTTGACCGTGGTCTCGCGGCCAGCGCCGACCATGCTGCGGCATGCGCTACTAGCTAGCACCACCTGCAGACTATAGCCTTCGCGCGAGCAGCCCCCGCGGACCGATGGATGAGTACCTTTCGTTGTGGCTGTAACATGGCCTTTGCTCCTACAGCGACTCAGCGAGCCAACACCTTCTCTGTCCATGTCCGCGTGCTGGCAAGAGAAAGGAGATGATCCGCCTTCTTCACTTTCTTGGCAGCACAACCGGCAAGGCGACAACGGCCATGGCTGAGAGGTGGGGTGGCGTTCGTCAAGGTGCGTGTAGCGCGTGGGGTGGCGGCACGAGCGGCCCTGCGGGCAGCGCAGACAGTGAGACAGAGAAGGCCATGTCACAGTCACCGACAAGGCTGTATGCGGCCACTCATGCACCTTCGAGTGCGTTGTTAGCACGGGCAGCATGGTTGGCGTTGGCTGTGTGGCCACGGTCGCCTGCTCACATGTCCGAAGCGAGGGCGGCACCTTCAAGTGCGGCCTTTTCTTTTATGCAAATGAACGAGGCAAAGATAGATGAGGGGTTAAATGCAAAGTGGCAGACACAGTCAGTGCTACAGTGGCATGCCATGTCAGATAAAAATGCCAGCATGGCTGGTATGGACCTGTGGTGAACCAGTTAACAAGTTTAGGGACTCAGAAATGCATTTTCCAAGTTCATGGACCTATGTGACACGCTTACAAATTCGAGAGCTGTTGGTGCATTTAGGGCGTACCCACTGCAGAGAGCTCCCGCTCTGTGCGGGGTCTGGGGAAGGGTGTCAGTGGCAAGCCTTACCCTCGCCTGTGAAATGCGAGGAGACCGCGACTCGAACCTCGGGACCTTCCGGTCACAGGCGGTAAGACTCTACCGCTTGCACCAGGCCCACCCTTCACTGGTGCATTTAACTCTTCCAAAATTATATTTTTGCAGTGCTGCAGTAGCCTAGATACTATACTCCTACTGATCTGCTGGAGCTGAAATTCACTTGCTTGCATTGTATGATCTAGAGTATGGATATGTGTTGAATTAACATGTTTGATCTGTAGGTGAATTAAAATTTGCCTGCTGAATTAGCCTGGCTGATTGCCACATTGCCATTAATTATTCAGTTGAAGATTGATAAACGCTTCTTAAACAGATGGCACCTGAAGATATAAGATGGGAATTTGATGGACATCTTTCAAATCGTGATGGCTGGGGCCCTTCTGGCCCTATGTTGAAGAGGCACCCAACCAATAATGGTGCTGTGGCTGGTTCAATAAGGGGAAGAGGGAGGTTATCAATAAATGAGCCTATAAAGGACTATGCTCCACCTGAAAATGGCATCAATAGGAATTTTGATCATGTTGACATACCAAATACTGAAAGTGTTGTTACGGAGGTAAATTTCAATCAACAGTTAGACATAAAAAAGGTAGTCAGATATAATTTTGTCTCACGGTTGTATGTTCCCAACACAGGTGGAGAGGGTATTGTCCAATCCAAATATGCCTGAAATTGAGAAGGCAAGGAAACTGCTGAAAGTGAGTTAATTCTTCTGGTCAAATGTTCTTCTCATTTGAAAATGCTCATGATTGAAAAAGCTCGTTATCATATTTTCTTTCCCTTCTTTGAGTCACGAGGCAAAACACTTGTTCTTTTAGGATCAGGAGCAGTCATTACTTGATGCAATTGCCAGACTTGATGAAGCATCGGATAGCGATAGTGGTAAGTTCCTCGCCAGTTCTACCTCGTTGAGGGTCAGATAGTACTATACAGAAAGATTGGACTCACTCCATCATAGAAGTTAGATGTTTTAGCTTTTTCCTGTCATACTTTTCTAACTTTGACCAATTTAGAGTTAATTACACCGCAGTTTGTAAACTATTACGTTCTCATCTAGGTCCCCAGACTATGAAATTGTAGATCTAGGTCCCTAAACTATTCCCAATCCTGATCCAAAGCAGCCATATCATAGCAAATTAGCTAATTTGGCGCTCTAGCTTGGAATTGCCATGTTGCTCCGCGGCTCATATTGACATGGTTGGTCTCTAAACTATACGTGATTCTCACAAAGGTCCCGAAACTATGAAATTGCAAATCTAGGTCCCTAACCTATTGAAGTACTCAAATCCTGGTCCAAAGCATCTACATATCTCCTCTGCTGCTGTAAGGGCGACGCGCTTGAGACCTACACACGTCGGTGGCTACTGAGCATTGTCAAGAGATGACACCTAGTGAAGCTAACAAACAATACTAGTTTAGTACAACCATGGATAGTTTTGAATCAGTCACCATGAAGGCAAGAACAACTGACGTCCATGCACACCGCTAGAATGAGCTATGCAGGGTTCTCAACTACAGGAAGCTCGCTAAGACAGTGTCCATGCATGCTTCCCAGAATGAGTTGCTTCCAGTTAGGGTCGTCGTGCAGATGCTCTTCTACGAGAAAGCATGTGTGGCGACACTATCTGGCCCCAGTCACAGCAGATGGCATCAAGATTTTGCTTGCCACAACAAGATGGGAGGCGAACCACATGGAGGTCAAGAACGAGCAAAGGCTCTGAACCTCACCGGTGAACCAGACGACAATTTCGTAATTTTGGGACCTAAATGAGAGTGATGTATTAGTTTAGGGACCGTCCGTGTAGTTTACTCTTATTGGAGAAAATATTAATTAACATCAATACCAAATAAATGTACTCTTAAGACATATTTTGATGGTGGATGTTGGTGCCTTTTTCTATACACTTTCAAGACAAAGATAAGGTTGAATCAGGAGAAAACTAAAATGACAATGTTTTTTTTTGGGAACAGAGGTAGTATTTGCTAATGGTTTAGTATAAAATAGGATCCTTGGATGAACCTTTTGAGGTATTGTAGTTTTAACTGGTGGTATGTTGAAGTCTTCCTGGAAATGGACATTAGAATTGTACATTCGCCAGCTGATGCATCTTTGGTGTATTCACGCTTCGTATATTTCCCTGACCGATTTTTTGTGTTACAGAAGATATGGCCATGGAAGGCCGAATGGGTTCTGCTGGGGAAAGGAACGGCATTACTACTTAGTTGTTTCTGGCATGTTGGAATTGGAAGATTAACTTGCATTTGTGTACCACCTACCTCGACCACAGAACAAAGAAACCACATTATGGCAAAACTGACATGCCAGAAAATGGTGTACTGGAACTGTTGATGCCTGAAATGGGATTTTTCGGTACACAAAATTGAGCGCACGGAGGGGCAGGGATATGCAAATGTTAAAGAACTTTTTGCGCGCCATTGCATGTTGTTTCCTCTGTAGCAAACTAGAAATAACTTAAATGTTCTAGTTGATCATTAGCATGGATCACTTAGCATTCCTGATTCAGTACAGGTAGATGTCTAACTCTAGCATAATATCCAACTTGGCTGTTCTTGTACTCTAATGTAAAAAAGGACTTTGTTGTGCACGCTTTTGATGTATGCTGCTGGAGTATCTGGACATTGTTGTGCAGGCTTTTCCTGCTGGAGTAGCTTGGCTGACCGTGTCCCGATGTGTTAACGACTACGCTAATGGTCGGATGTCCAATTTTTTTTTCTTAAAAAATATTTATTGTAATAGTTATTTCATTCCAAAATATGTTTATATGCCTTTTCTAGATACATAATTTTTATTACTCCTCCGTATTGGTTGGACAAACATTGGGAGTATAAATCGTGAATATTAATATTTTTTATATTGTTAAATTTGAAAATATGAAAACCATATGAATAGATTTATCTTGAAAAATACTTTTATAAAAATATTATCATTTTTCAATAAATACTGACCAAATCATGCTTTAGAAAGGAGGGAGTATCATAGCTGTTGCTATCTATCTACAAAAGTTAGAATGTGGAACTTGAAACAGAGGGAGTATTATAATTCAGGACGGAGCCAACTAATGGAATTTGTTTCGTACGAGATGGGCGGTTATATTAACTTTGAACCTGGATTTTTCATTCTTTTAGTACAATGAAAAATGAATGATACAATGAAAAATGAATGATACGAGGTCGAGGAACGTCAACGAGCCAAAAAGAAACTAAGGAACATTAAAAAACGGAGTGTTTTGCAGTTCAGCTTCGATTGTTGCATGACCAAAGCTATCAGTTCAAGCAGAACCAGAAACACAAGATCTGTCAGTCGCACAAACCGCATGTCAGCTCGGCTCCTTCCCAACCACAACCTACGTGATTTACACGCAGCTAAAACTGAAACTGAAACAGTGAAACTATGGCTTTACTTCGGTCGCTAGTTGCTACCGACTACCACGCTTATGAGGTCTTCTACCGCCGTCCTCATCCTACCTACTTTCTCCCGCCGCGCTTCCCCGTTCCTGACGACTTCTCCGACCTGCTGTTCGTCTTGGCCCTCTTGGATGGCGGCGGCGTGGCTGGTGCCGGGCCTCGTTTCTGCGGCCGCCCGACGCCTCTCTTCGTCCCGGCAGCCTTGCCGCCCCTCCTGGATCCACCGCGCCCGGTGCCCTCCTTCCGGCCGGTTCCTCTCTTCCGGCCGGTAGTCGTCTGCTGCTCCATCGCCGCAGACCGCTTTCGCGTCGTCCCCAGCTGGGACCCCGACCCCCGCTTCCTGGGGGGCGACTGGTTCAGGCGCTTCAGGAAGTCCACGGCGTTCCTCTTCTTGGCGAGCCCGCCGGCGCCATTCCTCGGCCCGTCCGCATCGTCCGCCGCCTTCGCCATATTCCGGCCAGGACCCGCCGAGTTCTTGCCACCGCGGCTCTTCTTCGTCCTCACTCCCCACGCCTTGTCCTTGATCGCCGCAGCCACGGATTTCTTCTCGTCCTCGCTCTCTTCCTCCGCTGCCGCAGCCGCCTCGGCCTCACCCTTCATCGTGCTCTCCTCCTTTCTCGCGGCGGCCTTCGGGATGGAGCTCCGCTTGCGGCACACGATCAGCGGCTTCTTCCCCTTCTCGATCAGCGAACCGACGATGTCAGCGCCCGCCGCTGCCGCCGGCGCCGCCACAGCCACGTGCTCCTGCTTCGGCTCGTGGAGCACCGCCGACGCGTGCCCAGTGACGAGCGCGCGGGCCTCGACGGCCGCCGCGTGCTCGGGGGTGCCACGCGGGAAGAAGACCACGGCGTTCGTGCAGAGCAGCAGCAGGTCGCGGTAGAGCTCGCGCGCGGGGAAGTGGTGGTCATCGTCGGCGTGCGAGGCCGCCGACGCGTCCAGCCGACGGCGCACGCTCTCCAGGTCCACGTGGCGCCTGATCGTGCCCCGGTACGCGGCGGACTCCTGCAATTGGATCGGATTGACCAGGACATAAATAAAAAAAGCCAGTAAATAATTGGGAAAGAAAAAAAGAAAATAAAAGGGACGAAAAAATTTCTGCTAGCATCGTCTAGCTACAAGGCACCCGGCCACAAATGATTGATTGCAACTGTGCACCCAACTTGCCGTGCTATAATGCACCGAGCAAAAAGATGGTAAACACCTTAGAAACTGATTTTTTTCGTCACCAAGAAATTGATTTTTTTCACGCGGTTACTACACTAGTACAAGAGATTCGCCGTATTTTATCGAAACACCTTAGAAACTAGTGAGAAATTAAAGAGTCATATATGGCTATTATTGTACGAATGAGAAAAAAAAAATGAAGCGTTTCCATGCGCTTCATGCCTTCGTCCTAAGCTCCATACGGTGGTACTGCTACACTGCATGTGCAACCTGAAGTCATCCTACTCGCGGAGGCAGGCATATGCCATTTCGCAAATCAGGTAGCTCACGGATTTAGGGCTTCTAATCACAGGTCATCGGTGCATGCTACATGCACGACAAATCTTATCCAATATTTACACACCCGGGAGACCCGTTAATCAAGGGTGGGAGTGGGACCCGGACCCTGACATGTCACCAGCTTTTTGGAAAAATTCATGTTACAAGGTTTTAAAGCTTACCCTTTCACACCTTGTTAAATTTGGGAATTTGGCTACTGTTTATATCGCGAAATTTGGGAATCAAATGTGAAAAAGACGAGCATGATGGTAATTACCGGGGCACCTACCTCGTTGCCGTGCTCGCGTAGCTGCTGCAGCGCGGAACCGAGCTTGGCCGAGACCGCGTCGACCAGGGAGGCGAGCGGAGGGGACCGGGCGGGAGGTGGGCGGGACGCGGACGCCGCCTCCTCCTCCTCCTCGTCAGCCTTCTCGCTTCCGCGGCGGCGGCGGCACAGGCTTGCCGAGCTCCGCACGTCGCTGCTCTCCTTGGACGACGCCGCCGACTCAACGGACGCCTCCTGCTTCGCAACCTCCTCCTCCTTGGCGCCGCCGCCGCCGCCCTGGTGACCGGGGTGCTTGGGGGGCTTCAGATCTGTGGAGTTCGACTCCCTGCACGACCGCCCGGGCTCCTCGCTGGGGGAGGAGAGCCGGTCGTTGACGCTCACCTCGTCCGGCTTAGCCTCGCCGGAGACGCTCCGCTCCCGCTCCCGCTCCTCTCTCAGCCATTTCACTTTCGACTGCAGCGTCCTGCGCGAATAAAAATTTTGATTTGTAATTCTCCATTAAATAAATCCCCGCCGAGCGATCGCCATCAGACGGTAAGGAAAACGGGCGAGGGTTTTCAAAAGGTAGTTTTTCTTGTTTGGATTTTTCTTCTCTCTCCGGATTCCATACCCGATGGACAGATCGCATCGCTCGACGTCGCGCCGGAGCTCGGCGACGCGCAGCCGCCGGAGCTCGTCCACCCACCCCTCGGCAGCGGAGGCGTCGGGGTCCTCCTCGGCCTCGGCCTCCTCCTCCCCGCCGCTGCCGACGGTGGAGAAGCGGCGGTGGAGGTGGCGGAAGCGAAGGCGGCAGCTGTGCGGCGTGAGGCCGGGCCGGGCCGCCACGGGGCTTCTTGTCTGCACCTCCATGGCCACCGAGTCCCAGCTCGCCGTGCCGTGCCGGGTCACGGCGCAAGCCAGGAGCAGCTCCTCCAGCGTTCCCCAGATCTCCCCGCCCTTCACGGCTGCCGCCGTCGCCTCCGACTCCGGCGACACGTCTGTGCCCTCCGACCCGTCCGCCATCCTTCCTGCGTTGTCGCCCGTGAGGCAGTGGAGGTGTGGTCTCAGCCCCGCCCCGCCCTGGCCGTTGCCCTTGCCTCCGTTGCTCTCCCCCGTCGCTTTTTCCTTCCTCGGCCCGGTTTGATTTTTATCGGTAAAGAAGATGGCATGGTGGTCATGGCAATCAGCCATTCAGCCGAGCCGCGCGCGCAGCCTGGCACCTGTGTTAATTTCTCAATTACCCAGGGGCTTTTCTGTAAAAAAATTCAAAGTGGGCCCCCCAGCTATTAAGGCTTTCCGTGGTTTATTGATACTGTTTTGTTGTGAGAGAAAATACTATATCATAGCTGATAAGTCCTGTTTATTTGACTTATAATCCTTACTTTTTCAGCCAACGAATAATATTTTTTTTTCACAACAAATCACCAACAGTATCTTCAGCCATGACTTATCAGCCAAACGAACAGGACAATAATGATTTCTTGTGCAATGACCTTGTTACCCCTTGTCAGTGATCAGCTACCACCAGCCTACCACTTGTATGTGTGCGTTCGTTACCTTCCTGCAAAGCCTAGCTACACGACTGCACTACGCAACAGAATAACCACTAGTTTGTTTAGACTGGTTTGACTTATAAGTCATGGTTGGTTGGTTTAGTGTGAGAAAAAAATATTGTTCGTTGGTTAATAAGTCATGACTAATAAGCCAAATACGATCGAACAAACATGCTGTAAACTGATGGTGTGATGGAGCTAAGCCAAGTCCAAAGCATCAAGATTCAATCAATGGGAATAGCTTGATCCGGAAGGTAAATCCTGGTGAGTTGCGAGTTTGGCCTTTTAGTTTTATAAATTTTAGGCCGCTTCTGTATATCAATTGCAAAATATCGTTTTCTTATAAGCAAGTTTAAAAAGCTGCCTCTTTATTTGAAAAGCAAACGGCTTTTAAAATGAGTTTCCAGAGTTTTTAGATAGTTTGTGTGAGTGTGTGACAAACAAGTTTCTCGCAAAAAAAAAGCTTAAACAACCAGGCCCTAATTCGTGGCTTATCTTCTGGGGCTTAATTGAATGATGAATCAGCTCGATCGGGCAGTTTCAGCTTGTACATGTTTGTGCCCAATCTAACATCGATCGTCGCCCTGAATTCTCTAAATTAACATAGGATTTTCGAAAGAATATCACTGAAACAATTCAGAATTCAGAAGCCGTGGTTTCATTGGAGCATGTCAGTGCCCATGCCAGACCGTTACTTTCCCAGTTCCACATTTCAGAATTCAGAAGCCGTGGTTTCTACTTTATCAGCCGAGCCACTTAAGATATATAGTCACTCCATCCCATAAGTGTAGTTTTTTGACTTTTTGACTTCTTGTTTGCCGTTATCTTATTCGAAAAATTTATGCAAATAATAAAATAAATAAATCATTATTAAAGTATCTCTAATAAAAAAAATAAGTCATAACAAAATACATAATATTTATACAAAAAAATTTAATAAGACTAAAAGGAACTTGGGAGAATCAACATTCAACAACGCTCAACGCTTCATCCAAAGGAACAAATGCACATACCCAAATTTCACAGAGATTAGTGCCACATCCTTCAAAGGGGGCTATTGAAAAAACTAATCCTTCATTCATTTTAGGGCTTGTTCGGCCGGTATTAAAGCCGGTATTAATGCACATACCCAGATTTTAGATCGAAAGATGCGAATTTATACAGAACAGGATATCCTAATACAAACAATGGAAATAGAATTGAGGCAAAACTACTGCATCACCTATGGCAAATGCCAACCTCACTTGCCTCCAGCCAGGGTGTAAACTGCCCTTACTAATCTTCTCCAGCAAGGAAGTACTATTATTAAGCACAAAACTAGACACAGCCGGCAGCAGCCATGTCATATGGTAGGGCTTGCAATGTCAGCAAAGGCCTAGCTAGGTGCTACTTACTTCCGACGGGCCTCAAGCGCCTTCTTCAACTCCTCGCTTGCTTCATTGGGGGCCGGTTTCGTCCCACTGCCCACCAATTCCTTCGCATTGCTGTGGAAATGGCGATCTGGTTTCGACACGAATGAATGCTGTGGAGGTGGCACTGCTGCTGGCAGCTTACGACCATCGCCTTTGCCAGCTCCAACCTCTGCACGCAAGTCCTCGACTGAACGACACAGCATTGTGCTCTCCACATTCAGCTTCTCCAGTTGCCTCTTCATCAGTGAGAACTCCTCGCCCTCGGCTGCTGGAGGAGCGTCTTTCTTCCTCTTCTTGTCCGTTTCAGGCTGTGAAGGCATCTTGGGCGTGTGCTCTATGGTGATCTTGTTCATCACCAGCAGCGGCAGCTTACTGATGGCGAGGCTCCCAGCCTTGCGCCCGTACCCGTCGTCTGCAAGCGCGGCCTTGATCTCCGGCGGCACGCGCAGCCCCCACTGGAACCGCAGGCTCGCCTTACTCCACAGTGGCAGCACGCTCCTGGTCGTGAGCCGCATCCCAGACAGCAGCGCGCCCACGCCGCCGCCGCCCGTCCCCGCAGCGGCCGCCACGTTCGCCGCGAACCCATTCCCGGCGATGGAGAAGCCTTTACCGTGCGCTTCGCGGTCGTGGTCGTCGCCGTTGGTGGTGAGGTCGGCCATCTTGATCGCCAGCGGGGGCGGGGTGGATGCGGGCGGCGGTGGCGGCGGGGAGCGGACGGAGCTGGCGACGGCGAAGTCCCCGATCCGGGGCTTGAAGAGGAGCGAGAAGGCGGGCGGGTTGGAGGAGGTGAGGTTGAATTCGGCGGCGAGGGCGAAGGGGGCGCGGATAGGGGACCCCAGCGGCCCCAGCCCCGTGCGGATGGAGAGGGCTAAGGGCTGGAGCGGCTCGTTGGGGCGGTACGAGAGGCGGAGCGCCGGGCCGGAGGGGAAGGCGGTGGAGAGGTCGAAGCGGAGGTCCTTGGCGTCTCCCCCCGCCGCGAGGCCCGAGAGGAAGGGCAGCCCCAGCACGCCGACGGGCACCTTGGCGCGCAGCAGCGGGCGGTCGTCGTCGCGGAACTTGATCGACGCCTTCATGGCGGGCGGATGGGCGGCTAGGGTTAGCCTATGGGATTCGGGATTTGCCGGGTTGGGGAGGTGCGGTGGTGGTGGTGGGGATTTGAAGTGTGGAGGCGAGGGAATTGGGGGCGGAGGTTACGCCACCACGGGGGCCAGGGAGACGGCGGCGGCCGCGGCCGGATTTAATTTGGGGCGGAGGTCATGGAGGAGGTGGAACTGCGATGAGAAAATGGGAATTTTGCCTTCGACGTAAGTGGTTTCGCTACTTTATCGTCCTATTATCCGTTGCTTTGCCATTATAAAATACGGATATACGCTAGAATGTCATTTAATGCTGCTTAAATTTTATTTTAAAACTACCTTTGCCTTCCTCTCGCTGTGCCGCTGGACGCCTGCCGCAGCCATGGCTAACGTTTGGTGGCGCACCAAGCTCCCTCCTCCTTTCCTTCTCCGTCCGAGTCGAGTAGCACATCGCCCTATGACCACAGAACGCCGTCTCTCTGACTGACCCTGTCTCGGAGCACCTCTGCTGCATGGCGCCACCGGCTTGCATGCGACCGGGTCACGTGCGCACACGGCGAGGAGGCTCAGTCCACCTCCGACGAAGCCGAGATCACCCACGAGTCCACCTCCACCCCTAGGTGCTTCCCCGCCACTTCGCCGTTGCCGGTGACCTTCATGCCGATCACTCCTCTGCTCCAATTGAAGAAAGACCGTCAGACCAGACTGCAGTCACGGACTGGTTCAGCGACGGTTGCTGCTCGTGTGGGGCCAGCGAAGGCGTGTCTGGAGGTGGCTGTTGTAACACCCCGGTGTTATGCCTACATTGAGGCACTGCTAATCATACATATCATGCATCATCAAGCATCCTAATCATACATGCCTAATCATGTAAATAACAATTGAAACACTGCTTCGAAACATTTAAAACATGTGTGAAACATGAATGTTGCATACACCTGTTTAAGAGTTGTTCTGTCCTGATTTTGCTTGCTAGGTTAGTGAAACATGTTTGGCTACTATTGTAAATCATCTAGCAATGTTTAGTTCAATTTTTGGAGCAAAGTTTGTATTCAAATTAATTCAAAATTTGGCTTCAAAAATAAATTCCCAAAAATTAGGGTTTTGAGTTAAACGTGGACTTTGACCTTGCAATTCAAAATCTAGAAAGAATTTGGCTGTGGTCATAAAAGCAAAGTTGTAGAAAATTAAATTCTAAGCAACTTTCATTTTTTGGTACATTTTCAAAAGATGTCATTTTCTTACTCAAAATAATATTTGAAAGATGACATTTAAAAATTCCTTGAAAATACAAATGAAAAAGGCTTTTTCCTCCTTCATGGGTCAGCCTCACCTCACTCGCCCACTACCGGCCGCCCAATGCCCAGCTCCTTCCTCGCCTCTTCCTCGGCCCAGCCAGTCTGTTGCTCCTTCTCCATGCCAGCCTTGCGCGCCGTCATGCCATCACGTCCCGACCACTGGCGTCGAGCTTGCTTGCCACAGTGCGCCACCACCGTCGACGGCGGCTGGGCACATCACGGCCCACGCCAAGCAACTCCAGCACCTTCTGGCCATGACTTGAATCCTCACACCCACCCGCATTCCAAATAGCCTCACTTCTCCTCTCCCCTGTTTGCCTCTCTCTCTCTCACGCTACCGCATATATAGCCACATCACAAGACCATGCCTTTGCCGGAGCTTCGCCGCCCGCCACCTCATTCACGGTGACCACCACTCCGTCTCGCCTCTGACTCCGCTTGCCGTCACCCACAAGCACCCGTGCTCTCGCTACTTTGCCGTGGTAAGCATCCTGTCCTTGGGAATTGCTCACGAGCACGGCCGAAGCTTCATTGGTGAGCTCCGCTCCCGTGGACTCCCCCTTTCCGCTCCTCTTCCTACCTTTACTTCGCACGTACAAGCACCGCACGACGACGTTGAGTCTCTCGAGCGCCTCCTTTCACCATGCCGTGGTCGAGATGCTCCACCGGGCGACGACCAGCCCACCGCCTCCGCCATTACCGTCGCCGAGCCTTTTTCCCCTGCACCGCCCCTCCCTATTCACCTCTATCCGACGCGGTTTGTCTTAGGAAGCACGTTGGTGCTCTCCGTTTCGCCGAGGACCTCGCCGTCGGCGAGAGCTGGCCGGTCAGCGCCGCCCCTGTCTCGGTCTA